TATATATATATGAAAAACCAAGTGCAAAGAATAGACCTGATCTTTTTGACAAATAACGAATATCTTAACATCTATTGTTTTGGTGCAAAGACAGTGGAACCGAATAAAGTTCAGAATTAGATGACATACGTGTGTCATCCTGATGTATGACTAAATTGGTATTATAGTCAGTGGATTGTAAACTAATATGTTATCCTGACATAGGTTATCCATAAATAATAAAACTGTATAAAAGAAATTAAAATATATTTATTTATATATTTATATATATATGTGTGTACATATATATATGTGTGTATATATATAAACTATTCCAGACAAAAAAATTAATTTGCATGTGGATTGAAGATTTAATATGGAAAAGTAAAACTTTCAAGAGTTAAATTTCTAAAGAAATATATAGGATATATTTAATTGAAAGTGAACAATTTAAATACATAAAAGTCCCAAACATAGAGAAAAGATTGATATATTAGACCATAATAAAATTTTAATCTGTTGATTAAATTACACTAGAAACAAGCAAATAACCTGATGTACTAGTAGTTTTGCAGTTCTTGTAACTGGTAGTTAATAATATAATTATGCAATCAGCAAATTGACAAAGTGACACTTTATTCTTAGAAGAAGAAATCCAAGTGGCCCAAAAAAGATGTGAAACATTCACTTAGGTTTACATAAATGCAAACTTTTTAAAAATGAAATTCAATTTACACATTAACTATAGTTAAAATACAAAACCGTGATGACATTAACTCTGAAAGCCATATGGAGCAATTAAAACTTTACACACCATTGGTGGACTGTAAATTGGTAAAAAAAAAATGTTATGGAAATATCTGTTGCAGTTGAACACAAGTATAATCATAACCTCAGTGTTCTCACCTCTTGCAGTACTTCATAAAATCAGAAAAAAATGAAAACAAATACTTATCAAAAATATATAGTCACTATACAGAAGTGAAAATAAGTTAACCAGGGCCCACAAATAACATTTTTATCAAAACATGTGTTCTTATAATTTGTTGTCTTTCATTTGAAGCTTAACAAAATATGTAAATCAATGCCATACATTATTTAGGGATGTATGTGTGTGTAATAAGTTTATCAAAAATGCTGGATGGGCTAGCCTTGACTTCCACATGTTCTCCATGCAAAACATTTGGGTAATGAAGAAATTGTAACAAAGATACTACAGGTAAATGCATTGCTATCCTTCAAAGGAAGTAATGGCAGTGCCTAGAATACCCATTCTTTGCTTTATCACACCCATACACACACACACACACACACACACACACACGACTTACAAGTGAAAACAGAAAATGAGACTGCACTGGAAAAAAGTAGATACCATATGGTGGGTCTGGCAGGTGGTATGGTAGTTAAGGGCACTGGGCTCCTGCAAAGCCAATCATGGTTCAAGTTCCGGATCTGGCAGGTTGCGTGCGCGTGCGCTCGCTCTCTCTCCCCCCTCCACCTGCCCCCCACCCCGTCAAATTAAATAAAGTTAAATAAAATAATTATTTTTAAAAAATATACTATATGGGAATGAGAGGCCTTAATTATCACAAATTAAAATTATAATAAAAAGGGCTGGCAGGTGGCGTAGTGGCTAGGGTCACTGGACTCCCCCATGGCTACCATGATTCAAGTTCCAGACCTGGTGGCTTGCTTTCTCACTCCCAGCCCCCCACCCCCACCCCGCCTCCATCTCTCTCTGGTCAAATTTAAATAAATAAATAAAGGAAGTTAAATTTTTTAAAAATTAAAAGACACTGAAATAGTGTCTGCATCATTGGTGAAAAGATGGGCAGAGTGAAACTAAATTATAGTTAGATAGATAGATAATTGATAAATGAAAGTAAACACAAATAAAAAGGCGGCTTCCTTCAGAGAAAACAGATGAGAAAGTGGGTAAAACTTTGCCAAGGCTTGAGGTGAAATAAATTAGTTAAAATGATAATGTCATCATCACTAACATTTCCTTTGGGAATTTGCTTGCATACATTTGTTTTCACATAGTTTCCTTACCCTATCAGTCAAGAGAAACTTCTGCCTGAGAAATAATGTATTAAAAATACCCTGGGCTACCTAACAGAATTTTAGCCCCTCAATATTTTCACAGAATTTAAGCATGCAATGAAATGTCCATTTCTATAAAGATTATAGTCATCAGACTCAGCAACTAATAATTCTGTTTATTAGAAAGGTATTCTAATTCTGTAGTTTATTCTGCTGACTCTGCAGAATTAGAACACTTCTTGAAAGTAGAATTATTAGATACAGAGTATGAAATCTTTAATAGATGTAATTCTAACCATGAACAAAGAACAGGAAAGAATGATGATGCATTTTTAAAAACTAAAGTAATAGAATTTCTAAAAATGAAAAGTTATGCCAATCAAACTAGAAACTCAGGGTAAAATTTATGTTGAATCAAACTGAAAAAAGTAAAAAGAATCAGAATGAAGTTTGTGTTGCCTCCTTGTCTTCAAAAGGTGAACCTTTTTAAAAATAATAATCTGGACCAGTCGGTGGCATGGTAATTAAGGCAGTTGGATCCCACATGGCCAACAGCATGGTTTGAGTTCCAGACCTGGCAGCTTGAAAAACATGCCATGCATGTATATGTGCGTGCCTAAAATCTTGAAAAGATAAATAGATAAGAGATTGCAGCATGACCATGCCCCATGAGGGGTGTATTCTCTCTTCCCTCTATCTCCAGTGAGCACGCACGTCCTGTAGCAAGATTTAAGAAACAATAATCAAAAAGTGAAAGTACAGCAGAGGAAAAAAAAAAAACGGGTAACACTGGAAGGGCAATTAAATATTAGAAGATGGCAGATCATGGGATAGGGTCACTGTTAACATTCTAGAGGCCTAAGATGTGTAGCATGAGAAACTCAGTCAAAAAGAAATGATCAACCTTAATGAGGAAATTGGCTATTCTGAAAAAAAGGATGAAAATATTTTAGAAAGAATAAAGATGACAATAAATTCGACATTAACAGATATGTCACCGATACTTTAAAATATTGAAAATGTTAATAGTGACAAGTTGTATGTTGGACAGAATTCTAAATATGGTCTCTCAAGAATTGGGTGCTGTGGTTATCCAACTGCATAGTAATCTAAGTACTGCTGGAAAGGAATTTTTCACCTGTAATTGAAGTCTCAATTCATTGATTTTAAGAATTGGAGAATATTTGGCTACTTTTGGAGAAATGTGAGCAGTTATAAAAGAGAGTTTTCTCCTCGTGGTCACAGTAGAAGACATCAGAGTGATTTGAAAGGTGGAAGATTCAATGTGCCATCTCTGGCTTTGAAGATGAAGAGGGCTACATGAGAAAGGATGTAGGTGTATTTAGTACTTGACAGTGACCTTTAGCTGACAGCTCTCAAGGAAATGGAAACTCAGACGTATTGCAATAAATTGAGGACTTAATTCTACAACCTTAATAAGCTTGGAAACAGATTCCTCCCCAGAGTTACCTAATTAAGAGCTTGACCTAACATTTTATTTTCAGCATTGTGGGACCCTGAGCACAAACCTCAGCTAAACATACACTGACTTGTGACCTAGAAAGCTGTGACAAATGGGGTCATTGAAGTAGCAATGTGCGGTAAGTTTTTATACAGCAATAAAAAAATTAATACAATTGTAGCTGATCCAAATTTAGGCATATGACAGTTTAAGACATAGAAAATATGTGTCCTGTGTCATGATTTATATATGAAAATAAGATAAGCATTCTTTAAACTACTTTTGTAAGTTTTGTACATATAAAACATCTATTTGCAATGTTTCTAAGTTTAAAATTACAGTGGATTTAATAAATACTGTTTTTACAACTTAATATTTTTCATTTTTCCTTACGCTGCCTACTAACAATAAGAGAATTTTTTAAGTTTTGGGTTTTTTTTTTTCAGTTGTGCCAGAGGGCGTTGTGTGTGTCTATCAGACAGAGGCAGAGGGGAAGAAGGAGAAAGCATACTCTGATGGGGTGTGGTCATACTGCCATTCCTTCTCCATCTCTCCATCCTGTTGGTATGTTCTTCAAGCTGCTAAGGCAGAATTTGAAACACATAGTCCCATGTGGGACCCAGGTTTTTAACTACCAGCCCACTGGGCCCAAGTTTTGGTCTTGGTTTGCTATAGGGCACATTTTCTAACCAACGGAAGGGGTGAGAAAGCGAGAAACCACCCCTTGGGAAGATGGCCTTGCCACAATTCCTTCACCTCCATTCTCCTCTCAGGACTTTTGGCATGCATACACAGTGCCTCACGTGATTTTCAAGCCACTGTGTAGTTGACCATGTGCAATCAGCCACCTTAAACACCACACCATCTACTAGCCTGCCAAGTTTTTTCATTATTGCTATTTGTTTATTTATTTATTTTAATTTTTACAAAGTAAAAAGTATAGAACATATTTTTTAATAGAAAACTTTACATTTTTTTAAAGAATTGTTTGTTTATTTATTTATTTTCACATGAGTTTTGCCAGAGAAAGACAGAATGAGAGAGAGAGCAAGCCACCAGGTCCAGGACTCAAACTGGTCCGCTGTGTGGGAATTCCAGCACATTAACCACCATGCCACCTGTTGGCCCAGAGAACTTAACATTTTTTGTCTGTTAAATGTTTCTTCCCTTTGCTCCTCCCTGCCGCCCTCTGCCACCCGCTTTCCCTTAAAGTCTTTGGTGTCTACACTTAATTCTCTCTATTATCACATCTTTGGCTGTTTGTTTTGTTTTCTTTTCTTTTTAAGGTTTTGCCATAGGATGGGTGCACTCACCAGAGAGACAAAGACATTGATAGAGAAAGTGAGAAATCATCCCCCCGGGGGGAGTAGCCATGGGCATTTCTTTTTTCTCCATTCTCTTGGGATTTGGAGCATGCTTGCACTCAGGCCCACTGTGAGTTTCAAGCCACTGGATCTGGGATTCAAACCATGATCGGCCATGTGGAAGTCCAGTGCTTTAACCACTATGTCACTGTTGGCCCTTATTTAATATTTTAACAATTTTTTTAAGCAAATAAAAATATTCAGTTACTGAATGGTCCAGCCCGCTGTTATAGTTCATAGCAAACTAAACTGGACTACGGAAAGCCACATAGTTGACTGCAGATTCAAATTCTGGGGTAGGCTGGAAAACACACGGACAGTATATTGATGTATCCAAGATCCTGAGAAGAAGGAGGGCCTGGCAAAGGGGAATCACAGAACAATGACCCTGTTGAAGGTTCTCTGACTCTGTCTGTCTCTCTCAGCACACATGTACTATCATGAATCATATAAATTTTGAACAGTCACTGAATGATCTTAATTCCTTCCATTTATTGTTAAGATTACTTTGCACAATTTCCATTTGTATGGTTATTTTTACATTCCTACAATATACTCCTAGTTCAGAGTTAAATTTAGCTAGCCTGCTTTTGCTCTCACAGCTATATAAATGACTACAGTTCAAGGACTTGCTTGCAGACCAGGACTTTAACAATTCAAAGGAGGATTAGTGTTGCCTTCCTACTAAAGTACTTCCCTTACAGCTAATTTTTCTTTTTGAATTAAACTACTTGCATTACTTCTGCCTGGTATTGGATTCAACAATTGATTTAGACTTTGTGTAATAGGTTGGTAATAACATTAAACTTGGTCTTGATTCTACAACAAATTGTGTGATCTCAGTCAGATTTTCTGCCTCTTTGGGGCACATTTCTTTATTGATAAATTGATAGGTTTGAATGAAATAATTTCTTGGTTCTATTCTATCTGTATTCTTCTGTAATTCTATAAACTAAAAAGATGGAAAATCACCACCAAACCTATTTTATTCCCCACATTAGCTTACAATCTATTATGAAGGATTTGGCACAGTAGATTATGTTGCCACATCAATCTGATTTTCTGTTTTGTAAATTGCTCCAATTCTATAATACGTAAAAAGAATGAAGTTCGACCCTCAATAACCCCACATACAAAAAATTAATTCAAATTGGATCAACAACCTAATTATAAAAACATAAAACTCAGAAGAAAATATAGGGGTAAATCTTCACCTCTGATTAGCAATGGATTTTAGACTTGACTAAAAGTATAAGTAACAAAACAGAAAATAGATTAATTGCACTTAACTAAAATTTAAAACATATACATCAAACGATATTATTAAGAATGTGAAAAGACAATGTTTTAGTCCACTTTCCTGTTGCTAACAACTGAATACATGCTGAGTAATTTATAAAGAATAGAAGTTTATTAGTTCACTGCTTTGGAGGTCCAAGGTAAAGTGGCTACATCTGGAGAAGGTCATTTTCCTGGTATGGATTCTCTGTAGCAGCTGTGTCCATGAATCTGTCTCATTCTCTCTCCTTGTAAATTCACCATATTTCAGTCATGGCCACCCTGATGACTGTAATCAAACCCTAATTACCTCCCAAAGTCTCCACTGTTCAACAGTTTAGTCAGATTAAGCTTTCACCCTCCTAATTCATCCCATCACAATTAAATTCCAATACATTATTTTTTTGGGGTGCATTCAAGCCATAACAAGCAACCCAGTGAATGGGAAAAAATATTTACAAATCTTATATCTGATAAAGGTTTAATATCAAGAACATAAAAAGAACTCTGACAACTGGACAACAAAACAAATATCAAATTAAAATATGGCTAAGGACTTGAAGTCATTTCTCAAAAAGAAAATACAAAAAAAAAAAAAAAGAAAAGCCAATAGCACAAAAAAAAAAAATTTCAACTTTATTGGTTATTAAGGAAATGCAAATTCAAACCCCAATGAGAAACCACTTCATACCCAATAGGATAGTGTTAAGAACAAACCAGTAAACTGGAAAATGACAAATATCGGCAAACTTGTGGTAAATAAAGTTTGTAATACATTGCTGATGGGAAGGTAAAATAATTCAGGCACAATGGAAAATAGTTTTGTAGTTGTTTAGTAAGTTAAATATAGAATTACCCATATGGCCTAGCAATTCTACTTCTAGGTATATATACGAGAGAAATGAAAATATGTCCACACAGAAACTTGTATATAAATGTTCATAGCAACATTACTTACAATATCCAGAAGGTGGAAATAACACAGATGTTCATCACATGGATGAATGGATAAACAAACTGTGATAATCATACAATGGAATATTATTCAGTCACATAAACAATGAAGAGTTGACATATGCTACAACATAGATAAACCATAGGAAAATATGTGAAAGAAACCAGACACAAAAGCCCACATATACTATGATGCTTTTGCTGTGATCTGTCCAGAATAGGCAACTTCATGGAGACAGAAAAAAAAGTAGTTGAGAAGTTCCAGGGGATAGGAAGATGTAAGATGGGAAATGATTAACTAATAGTCTAAAGGCTGAGCACAGTGACATATGTCTGTTGCCCCAGCAACTCAAAAAACTGAAGCAGAGAATTACAACACAGTGAGATGCTGTAAAAATTAGAAATAATTTTTTTAAAGTCCAATATATATACTTGACATTTTCAATGACTATAAAAATCTTACATTAGACTTAACCTCTGTGTCTCAGTAGGTAGCATGCTGGACTGCCAAACTGAAGCCACATGCTGACTATGGTTTGAATCCCCAGACTGTCAGCCTGGAAACACATGGGGCATGTGTATAACCAGGATCCTGCCAGACTGGAGGTCTGGAGAAAGAGGATTGTGGCATAAATGAGCCCCCCGTGGATGGTGCTTTACTCATTCTTTTTTTGTGTACATAAACTCTATCATGAATTAAAAACAAATAAACAAAAACAACTCTTAAATTTCTTTCATGTTTACAGATGTTATATAAATTATAAATAATAAAATCCTGGTGATATTTTCAGTAACATATATGTCTATGTAATGAATAGTTGAAGATTCAATACATTTATTACTTTAATTGAATAAATGTCTTCTATAGGGTGAGTAACTCATTTACTTTTCTCCATTTTTAGGTTTTTATCATAGGACATGTGTACTCACTGGAGAGAGACAGAGATAAAGAGAAGAAAAGTGAGCAATTACCTCCCAGTGATATGGCCATACTATAATCCCTTCCCCTCCATTCTCTTAGGATCCTGGGCATCCACACACATGTGCCCTGAATCAATTTTAAGCAACCTGTTCCTAGACTCAAACAGTGGTTGGCCTTGTAGCAATCCAATGCCTTAATCGCCATGCCACCTGCTGGCCCAACTAGTTTGCTTTTTTTTTTTTTTTTAATATTTTGGTTTAATAAAAATTAGGAAGATAGGGCCAGCCAGTAGTGTTGTGGCTAAGGCAGCTAGATCCCACATGGTCAACTGTGCACTTGTAGTCCTGAACATACTGGATATGTGTGCCCAAAATCCCAGAGGGAATGGAGAAGTGATTGTGGCATGGCGATCCTCTCCAAGAGAATCTCACTAAACCTCTCTCTCTGGGGAGAGGACATGCCTTATTGAAAAAAAAAAAAACATTAGGAAGACCCTAATTAATGGAGCATTAAAATACTAGTTTATTTTGGTGGAAACTTTAAAATCCACAGATAGTCTTGTAATACTACACATTTTTCCATGAACTTTTTGAAAAACCTTTGTATTTCTAGATTTTCCTA